AACCTTTACCCCTGTAGGATTAATACAAACATGTATTACGATGGAAATAAATAAAATTAATGAAAATAAGAAATGACCTCAGTATGCCAGGAAGGAGCAAACAAGCAAAAACAAAAAATTCAAGTGAAGTAATACTGGACTCCTTATAATAGTGGGTGGGCTTCCCTTCACATCGTGTTTCAGGAGTGAGAGGTTAGTGATATTGCAGATCTCAGCGATAAGGAAGATAATAGAAATGGCATCAAACATTACCTTCCACCAAAGTACCCAGTTCTAGAATTCTAGAATTATTGTAAATTAAAAGAGCACATGTATTGTAGCCTTGATGAGTATTATTTTGTAAGTTGACTCTTGTTGGCGAAACTCTTGAGTTAGTCTTGCCCCATATTAGCAGCCATCTTTAGCCCTCTCTGATCATAAGCACTTGTTAAGATCCTGTATAACTTGGTCTGAAACCATCCCGGAGTGTATTTTTGAGAAACCATCCCGATGCTTGATATAATACCACAGAGGCATAATACATCATGCTTTGATTAATAAATAATTGTGACATTTTTTTTTTTTTATAAAGGAGAATGAGAAAACCAGCCTCTACATCCCCCACTTTTTTTACTCTCCTCCCACAATGACCCCTCACGGAACACCATGCCTATGAACCATTTCATTTCAAAGATCTCTTATCTTGTCTACTCCTATTACTTTGTGTGGACAGGAAGGGTAGTTTTGGCCAAACGTAGGCTGCCCAAAAATTGTGTGAGGACGACAAAAAAAAAACATGACCCCACATCCCAATAATTCTATCTTACAAAAAAATATATTTTCCCCATTTTTCGGAAGATTTTACTAATAGTATATGTTTTCATTATTAGTTGCAGCTTATACATAGACAGAGCAGTTTTTAGATACAGTATTGTGTCAACGGCAAAGGGCATCTTGGGGAACCGAAATTCTGGCTTGTTCTCAGTCGTTCCTTTCTTTTTCCTAATAAATCAAAGTTCCTAAGCTTGGAGCGCTTCCTCTTATCAATGTATATTTAGGAAAAAGCCTTGATGCGTTGGAACATTCTGACTAATGAATTGTAGTTGTACTTTTAATAATTTATTATGTGCTTGTGTATTTTGAAAACATTGCGAAGACTGCTGATGTGGCAAACTGGATTTAAAACATTCCCACATCCTCTCTTAGTTTGGCCAGAAAATGGAATAATCTTTCATGAGCAGTTCCACTGCATTTTGCGAAAGAACTAATGAGAGATATGGTTTCAAATCTTTCATTTCAGAGGGTGTCCGGTTGCCTTTTAGAGTGTAAATTAATTTGAGTAGGACACTTATTCTCTCCTACAAGTAACCCTTGTCTGGGTGAATTTACTTGTCTCTTGTCTTACTGTACAGCGCTGTCGAATATATTGGCACTATATAAATAGTCAATATTGGTCCTCCTGTAGAAGCTTGCTATTAAGGCTTGAGCCAGTAACCAACCTCATGCTGATGAGTTGCATTAACAACGAAACAGCTGTCCGTGAGTGGTTATCTAGCTTTACACCTCTTCCTGAGTTGTGTCTAAAAGCTGTTGTATACAGCAGACACATACTCCAAGGAATCCATGTATAAAGTGGAATATATGAGGCAAAAAGGTGTTTTTTTTGTTGAAATAATTTGCATATACCTACCCAGAATCCCTTGCAATAGTAACAGCACTGCAAATGTGAGATTTCTGTGAGAAGAGCAAGTCTTATTATTTGTTTGATGTGAGTAGATCTGTGTTTAACAATGTATTAACTATATACAAATATGTACTGTATTTCCATCTATTAAAAGTGCAGTTAAATATAACCAACCATCCAGCTTTTCCTGATTGAGCTCTATGCTCAGGGCAATAGGACCCTGCAGAGAGCACTGAAACAGAGATCCCTGCAGGACCTGCCCACACTGGGCATTCATGCCAGGCTGAACTGCCAATCCCTTGTGTCACTGACCTGCCCCCTCCCCCCATTCCCACCTGCATTACTATTCACAGGACGCTGTAGTTGGGAGGTACCATGTTTTTCCATTTATAAGACTTATTTTTTTTTAAATGTTTTTTAGTTTAAAATTGGGACTCGTCTTATACATGGAATGTCTCTGCAAGGGTTAAAAAAAAGACTTGTTCGCGGGGCCTAAGTTAAGATGGCGCCTGATGCATTTCAGTGTACCACAGCCCACACACATACCTGGCCTCCCGTACCACTTCTGAATGCTGTGGCAAGGAGGAAGAGGTCCCTATATGCATGGGAGCTGCAGCAGATGTCAGCACATCAGCAGTTCATTGGTCAGCACTTACCACCAATGAACGTTTGCCCTCTGACAAAGAAATGATCAGTCTATCATTTTAATGGTAGGTGTATTTTAACAGTGAGAGACAGAATAACCAAAAAAAAATCCAGGAAAATACGTCACATAAGTTATGAATTGATTTGCATGTCAATGAGTGAAATAAGTATTTGACCCCTTCAACCCCCTCAACCCTTGCTGGCAATTACAGGTCAGACATTTCTTGTAGTTCGCCACCACGTTTGCAACTCGAACCTTCAGCTCCCTCCACAGATTTTCTATGGGACTAAGGTCTGGAGACTGGCTAGGCTACTCCAGGACACTAATGTGCTTCTTTTTGAGCCACTCCTTTGTTGCCTTGGCTGTGTGTTTTGGGTCATTGTCATGCTGGAATATCCATCCATGACCCAATTTCAATGCCCTGGCTGAGATAGGAGGTTCTCACTCAAGATTTGATGGTACATGGCCCCCTTCATCGTCCCTTTTAAGTTGTCCTGCCCCCTTAGTAGAAAAACACCCCCAAAGCATAATGTTTCCACCTCCATGTTTGGGGTCAGAGCAGCATTCCTCCTCCAAACACGGTGAGTTGATTTGATGCCAAAGAGCTCGATTTTGGTCTCATCTGACCACAACACTTTCACCCAGTTCTCCTCTGAATCATTCAGATGTTCATTGGCAAACTTCAGACATGCCTGTACATGTGCTTTCTTGAGCAGGGGGACCCTGCGGGCGCTGCAGGATTTCAGTCATTCACGACGTAGTGTGTTATCAATTGATTTCTTGGTGACCATGGTCCCAGCTGCCTGGAGATCATTGAGACCGGAAATAATGATAAAATAAAAACACCACCCACACTTAACCATAATAATGTAAATATTACTATTTTAACACTGCCACCGCCAAGACATTTTATAAACGGGGTGCCTTGATCCCACAGGTAACTTAATCCCTTAGTGACCGCGGACGTATCAGGTACGTCCGACAAAAATATGTCCTCGGCACATTTGAGCGCTGAAAGATCGTGATCGCTTCCAGCTGCTCTAAAGATATTGCAGCGATGCCTCGATGTCGAGGCATCCTGCAATAACTCCCCTGACTGCCGGGCCACCGGGTGATCGTTTCTTTGGAGTGATCACTTCTGGGTTGCCCCACGTGGTGCCCTGCCGTGAGGCAGAGCATCGTAGGCTTCCGATGTGCTGCCTGTCTGCTGAGTGCTGTAAGGGGTTGAGGCACTCAATAAAATTCATCAAATTTAAAAAAACATTTAGAAAAAAATAAAAATATATATATCTATATAACTAAAACACCCCCCCGAACCTCAGACATACCTAGTACGTCCGAGGTATTCCTAATTACTTACCCAATCGCCGCCGTTACCCTGCCAGCGATTGGTCTTCTTCTCCATCTGGGGGAACTGTCGGACAGCCCAGACACTCCCCCCTCTGCATATTAGGCTCCTGCGGGCCATGTGATCACTCTGAAAGAGGCGTCCAGGCATATATATATATATATATATATATGTATAAATATCAGATATATATATATTATATCTATATATAATATGTATATAGATATATATATATATATTTTATATATAACGTCATAATAAGTGTATTTTTTTATTAATATATACATATTTTAATATAAAAATATACTTAGAGTAAAATTACACATGTATATATAATATATATAATAACTATATATATATATATATATAATTATTATTATTATAAAAAATAAATAATTAATTAAAAATAAACAAAAAGATTTAAAAATAGTTTTTTTTTTTTTTAAATTAAAAATTATATATATATATATATATGTAATTTTATTCTAACTATATTTTGATATTAATATATATATATATATCAAAATACACTTAGAATGAAATTATATATATATATGTATATATATATATATATGAATAAAAATAATACGAAATATACATATGCTCATGTACATAATTACATAAATAATTTCATAAATCTACACATAGACTTCAAATATATAAATATGTATATATATATTTAAATTCTACCTGCATATTTATGTAATATTTTTACATAATTGAGTAATTTTATTGATTGCAATTTGGGGGACCTGCCTGACAACCCAGGCTGAAGGTACAGAGAATTTTTAACACACAAACAAATATAAATGCTAACTTTGGCCAGTGTTTGTGACTAAGTGGCTACTCAAAAAGACTGGACATACCCCATATTGAATACAGTGGGTTGTCTACTTTAAAAAAAATATGTACATGTGAGGTGTGATTCAGAGATTTATGACAGATAACAGTGTTACAATGTCTCTGTTGATAAATTTTAAAAATATATATTTTGAAACAGCCCTATAACTTGCAAAAAAAAAAAAAAGCTAAGAACATGTTAACATTGGGTATTTTTAACCTCAGAACAACATTAAGAAACTATTTAGCATGGGTGTTTTTTTGGCGGTTGTCGATGCGTAACAGATTTTGGGAGTCAAATTTAGAAAAGTGTGTTTTTTTGAAAAACATTTCAGCATATTTTAGCATTTTTTTTATAGTAAATTATATGATATGATTAAAATAATGGTATCTTTAGAAAGACCACCTAATGATGAGAAAAACGGTATATAATTAGAGATGCCGCGAACCGTCCGCGAACTTCTCGCGAATGGTTCGCCGCAGTTTGCGGCGAACTCTGGTCAGCTGACACATCCCGGCCAATCTCCGGCAGACCCTCCCTCCCAGACCCTCCTACTTCCTGGACAGCATCCATGTTGAAGGCAGCTTCAACATGGATGCTGTCCAGGAGGTGGGAGGGTCTGGGAGGGAGGGTCTGCCGGAGATTGGCCGGGATGTGTCGGCTGACCGGAGTTCGCCGCGAACGGTTCGTGGCGAACCGTGGCGAACCGTTCGCGAGAAGTTCGCGGACGGTTCGCGACATCTCTATATATAATATGTGTGGGTACAGTAAATGAGTAAAAGGAAAATTACAGCTAAACACAAACACCGCAGAAATGTAAAAACACCCCTAGTCCTTAATGGTAAGAAAATTGAAAAACTGTCTGGTCACTAAGGGGTTAATAATAAAAACCCACCAAATACAAGTTAGCACAATACCTATGCAGATGCAAAATACTCATTAACTGGTCTCTTCAGGTAATGTGATTCTTTACACCTAACAAATTATTTACACCAACAACAGATAAAAAACCCAAAAGGGATAAAATAAAAGAAGTCCTAATCACTTACTCCTTAGATTTTCAAAGTAAAACCTCTACCCAGGGGGTCTCTGGCAAGGAAGATGGTGACTCACTCAAAATTAGATTTTGTCCCCAAGCAAGTACAATACACATTTAAGTATCATTAGATATATGGTTCAACAATATAAACACCACAATATTAGTGAAATGTAGTGAAAACATAACTTAGGACCCAACGCTTGCTATCTTTTATCCTATGCTGAATGGTGTTTTTTCACCTTTTAAACAATGAAAGAGCTGATCTTTTTATACTTACCCATTTGAAGTCCTGTGTACCGTTGATCATCCTACAGTAAGAAGGGGATCATTAGCCCCCCACATCATCGGGGGAGGCATTCTGTTTAATGCTTCGCTATCTCGTGAGTGCAATCTTGTACAGCGCATGATTGATTGTGCATACTGTATCACACTATTTTTGCTTTTTTTGTCCCTTTGTAGATTTGCTCAGCCGTATCCCGCATGTTTGTTTTTTCTGGTTTTCTATCATTAGCTATATACCCTGTGGATTACCAAGTCTGGCCCAGAGGTGGAGATAAGGTATACCTCTAGAGACAATAAGTGACCACCTCCTTGTTTTCCAGACCAACATCAATCCAAATGGAAACATTTGGTTCTTATGTACTTGCCACAGAAATAATAATTGCATCTATGAATCTGTTACCTTTTTTCCATTCAATAGCTATGTCACACAACCTACTTGTGACCCAATATAGCGGACATTACAATCCCTTCCCATATGGTTAAGTTACGCAAGTCATGTTTAGGCTTGATTAGAAGATTGTGCTTGTCCCATTCTAAAGATAATAAAAATGAGGCTTAATTATTAATCTGTGGGTAAGTATTAATGTTTCTTTTGGATATGATACTGGAACACAAGGTTTTTTTTCTTGAAAGTTAATTACCATTCATATCAAAGGACTCCTCATCTAAGAGGGAATCTAGACATATGGCAAATTAGAGAGTTGGTTTATGTTTCAACCAGACTTCTAGGCCACTTATGTGTGACTTCTCACACCTTACAGAGTAGCTCTGTTGGGGTCCCAGTTTCAAAGAGCAATTTAAGTTGTAAGCTCTGACCTCCCATACAACCAAATTAAACCTTTTGGAATTGACAATACCACCTCTACCAAGCAGACAGTTCATCTATGCACTACACAAGTTACATTAAATGACAATATTCAATAGTGTAACAATGAATTATGCACCCTTGCCGTAACGGTTAGTAAGAGTTCCTCTATTTAAAATATATTAATAATTGAGAATGCAATATACAATAGGGATTGTCTTGGAAACAATAATGTTTTGTCTTTTTAAATATTTATTAAATAAAAATATAAATATAGACATATAAAATCCATTACAATAATTTTTAGCAGAGTTTTTAAGATTAAAGTATATGCTTGCAATATCAGTAAAATAGAATAACATGCCCTCCTGAACATGTCAACCTCTCAGTCATGAAAAAAATGGAGCAGCATCTCTGTCTCCAAAATCTTTCCTCTGTATCCTAATAGTAATAAGTATTTATACCTTAGATGTTCAATTAGGTCAAATTAGGACCTACCTTAACTTGGCAAAGATACAAGGCCATAACTTGGTAATTTCACATTGGAACATCTTATCTATGTTCAAACTAAAACGTAAGGTACACATGACGTGGGAAATTCCCTGACTTGGGGAATTACAGTAACCTAGGGCAAGATTGCGTCCTAAAGTCTGAACACCATTGTATGAAAAACAATATGTTCTATTTCTAACAACTTGTCAGTTTGAAAAATCTCTTAAAGACAAAGTACACAGTTTAAGAAATACAACTTTTCATTCCAAAAATTTTAATATTTGCATATGCCCATAGCAGCACCAACTGTTGTCATCTTCTCACCAAGCTCCTTGGTGATGGTCTCGTAGCCCATTCCAGCCTTGTGTAGGTCTACAATCTTGTCCCTGACATCCTTGGACAGTTCATTGGTCTTGGCCATGGTGGAAAGTTTGGAATCTGATTGATTGACTGCTTCTGTGGACAACTGTCTTTTATACAGGTAAAAAACTGAGATTAGGAGCACTCCGTTTAAGAGAATGCTCCTAATCTCAGCTTGTTACCTGTATAAAAGACACCTGGTAGCCTGAAATCTTGATGATTGATAGGGGAATAAATACTTATTTCACTCATTGACATGCAAATCAATGTATAATTTTTTTTGGCATGCGTTTTTCTGGATTTGTTTTTGGTTATTCTGTCTCTCAATGTTAAAATACACCTACGATTAAAATTATAGACTGGTCATTTCTTTGTCAGTGGACAAATGTTTGAAATCAGGAAGGGATCAAATACTTTTTTGCCCTCACTGTAGAGCCATTAACTTCATAGAGTAGCGTAGCACAGGGGAGGCATGAGAATCAGAAGTGTGTTGTTGTCCTCAGAAGTCACCTCTAAAATATCAAAGTTGTTCAACTTGATGTTTAAAATATTGATTTCTTAATTTTGGGCTCAAAATATAGGAGTTGTCTTATACACGGAAAAATATGGTATGTATAAATAGAACTGCACTCCTCTAGACAGAGATTTCCCTCCTGGAATCTGCTGAAACCCCAAGTTTGGAGAGTGGCTTCAGCAGATCCCAGGTGGAACGTCTGAGATCCCTGACCCATCGGACTCTCAGGCTTCTGGGATAAGTACACAAAAAATATCTCACAGTTTAAAAATATATCTGGGGTCCACCAGGTGTCTACTGCCACTTCCTTAGCTGTTGGAAGCTCAGCTAAGAAGCTAATACCGGCCATGCAGGGCCATGATAATTGGACAAGAGCACTTAGCTGATGCTCTTGGACAATGAACTGACACTGCACACCAGGCATTATCTCAGTGAATGCAATGGAAGCTACTTCCAATACCAAGGGAGGATGTAACAGGCACCAGGCAAAACCCAGGCTATTTGTTGTAAGACTGATTAGCAATTCTGAAGCTTCAGCGTCCGTTTTGCACCGCATCATTGTCACTTTTATCATTGTGGCCTTGATCACCTTATTGCATTTTTAGGCATTTTATTTGGTCTCTATTGTAACTGCGCCTGTGCAAATTGACTAAATTAGTGGATTAAAGGCCTTGTCTATTTTAAACTCCTGTTGCTTTAGGGCTAGTGTCCTTTTGTGGTTTCTGAACCATTAAACGCATTACTGTAGTATTTGCTTTTGTAGTCCTGACCCAGCTTGTACCTGATTCTGAGTTATGCTTTCTAATTTCCTTGACCCAACAATGTTCCTGACTCGGAATTTTACATACATTCTTATTGTCACCTTTGTGTTTCTGGTTTTCCTGACCGAGCTTCTCCTGACTTCAAGTTTAGCCTTACTCTGTTCTGTATTCGTTGTTTACTTGTAGATTTAGTGCTGCTATTTCCTATTTGTATCTTAATTGTTAATCACTGCAGTTCTGAGATACGTTAAAAGGCCATTCCTCCTGTTCCTTTTGTTAGGTTGCTGACTTATATCTTGCTGATATCTTGCTCATTATCTATATCCTGACAGCTGCCAAACTGTTCTTTAAATGGTTTGACTACTTACTCATGGAGAGCACCAGAGATAGTTATGGTGCATGGAGTGTTCCTTTTTTACAGAGCTCTACAATCCGACAGAATGCAATCAGAGCATTCTAAAAATATTGTTGTGTATACAGAGTGCTTTTTTATTACAACCTACAAGTGTACATTCGACAATTTTCATAATTTTTCTCTAGTCCTTTGTCTGCATCCCAGAGGTACACGTTGATGCCCATTGATTATAACTTGAAATAGTGTGACCAGCTATATAATTCCAGCTACAGAGCAAAATTTATCACATTATGAGAGACAGCCTCAAATAGTCAACACGACTGGAGATCTCGTTCAATCGGTATTGAAAATTTCAGACACACCACATGATTTAGAACTCTAAAAATAGACTCTGCCACTATACTGCACATTAGCAATCCGGTCATGAACAGTGCAGGCACACAGCTCAGTAATGTAAAATACAGGGCTCTCAATGCTTCACAGTTTCCATGTCGAGTGAGCCCCTCGCCGAAGCAGGCGCCAAAGACATGATAGAGGTGTTTCTGACACAGTGACAACTAATATTAAAAAATGAAGTGGAAAAATGTAATAAACAGATTGAAATACATGAAGTGGTTATAAAAAAAAAAAACAGATCTTGTGTATGATGATCATATTGATGACTTTCCACAAGAGGATAGATTTGGTATGTATGTATCTACGTATCTATCTATCTATCTATCTATCTATCTATCTATCTATATATCTATCTATCTATCTATCTTATCTATCTTATCTATATATCCATCCATCATCCATCTGCCTGTCTATTTGTCTGTCTGTCTGTCTGTCTGACTGTTTGTCTATCTATCTCTCTATCAATCCATCCATCTATCTATCTATTATCCATCTGCCTATCTGTCTATCTGTCTGTCTGACTCTCTATTATCTATATCTAATCTATTTTATGGTAGAGTTTTCCAGTTAATACATGGAACTTTTTCACCAGTCCTGGTTTGGTCGTTCTAAGTACCACAGGAATCCCTTGGTGTGGAAGGTGAAAATATATTTTTA